GATCAGGAGCTCAAGGTCGTCCTCAGTTACATAAGGAATTTGAGGCTAGTCTGGGAAACTCAGGACTCAGTTCCCTTCCAGTCCAGGTGCAGAGGGTCGTCATGGCAGTATGAATGTCTTGAAGCTGACATTGGACATCTTCCTGGATTTTGCTGACTAAAAACTGAAAAAGAATGAACAGAGAAAACAGCAATGGAAGCAGTGTGACCCATTTTCTCATGGGGTGGTGGTGGTGCGCAGCTAGTCCTTGATCTAGCTTCCACCTCATGTGCATCGCAGCCCATCAGAGAGCCAAGTTGCCACTTGTAAAACTGACAAGAAAAATCAGGATGTGATAATAATCCCAGAGCTTGGGAGGCAGATGCCACAGGGGCACCAGAAATCGGAGGCCAGCTTGGTCTACAGAGTAAAACCAAAACAAAATATCCTGAATAAACAAAACAAAAAAGAAAAGAGCCAGGCGGTGGTGGCGCACGCCTCTAACCCCAGTACTTGAGAGGCAGAGGCAGGTGGATCTCTGAGTTCAAGGCCAGCCTGATCTACAGAGCAAGTTCCAGGACAGCCAGGGCTGCACAGAGAAACCTTGTCTTGACACTGAGGGGGGTGGGCACAGGGGCTGAGTGGGGAGTTGAAGGAGGGAGCATCGGGCCCAGGCTCTAGAACAGAGGAGTGTGTCTGGAAGCATCAGCACCTGCTATTGTTGGGGCTCCCACAGGCAGCATCCACCCCGAGGCAGAAAGACGTTGAGACAAATGGACAACCGAATTCAAAGAGCGTCAGCTCATAGGGCTATCCATGTCTCTCGGCATGGAGACAGTATGGTAGCCAGGAGACTGGATAGAAGGCGCCTGTCCTCTTTCCTTCTCCAGACATATCCCCCTGTCAGCTCCCTCCATGTGGGGCGCGGACTTCTGGAATCAAGAGAAGCTGTACAGGGGTAGTGAGTGGTACCTCACACCAGGAGAAGAGCTTCCTGCAGGTGATCACACTGAGTGGCTGTGGAGGGAGGGTAGCTGAAGCCTTTAGAGTATGCAAGGAGGGCTCTGCCTTACTCTGTACCTAGACTGCACCACCGCTCCACCCAGCAGGCAGATGGAGGGGCTCTGGGAACTTAGGGACTCAGTTTCCCCGCCAGTCTAGGTGCAGTGGGTCAACATGGCATGCCTTGAAGCTGACGTTGGACTCAGGGTAAAAATGCTTGCCTAGAGAGAACACAGGAGGTCCTATGATTGATTCCTAACACCGTCAAAAATTGATTGTCCAGGAGGCGGGGGAGGGTGGGGGGTGGGGGGGGGGGGGGGGGGGGGGGGCCCGGGGGGCAGGCAGATCTCTGTGAGTTCAAGGCCAGCCTGGTCTGCATAGTGAGTCCCAAAACAGCCAGGGCTATGTAGAGATACCCTGTCTCTGTAGCCATAAAGTTTACCACTGTAGCACTTAATTTGTATTCATGACCCAGGGATATTCCTTACATTCACTATCAACACTATTCACTTCCAGAACTTAATAACTTATTTATTTGTATTTTATGTACATGGGTGTTTTGCCTGCATATGTGTCTGTATGAGGGTGTTGGGTTCCCTGGAACAGTTATAGACAGTTGTGAGCTGCCATGTGGGTGCTGGGAATTGAACCCGGGTCCTCTGGAAGAGCAGGCATTGCTCTTAACTACTAAGCCATCTCTCCAGGCCCACTTCCAGAACTTCTTAATCCTTCCAAATAGAAAGTCCATGCCCATTAAACAACGGCTCTCTATCCCCTTCTCCCAACCCTGGTAACCTCTGTGTATGCATTTGACTCCTCTTGGAACCTCATATAAGGCAAAGACACACTGTGTAGTCTTTGGTGTCTGGTTTATTTCATTTGGCATGATGTTTTCATGAACTGTTCTTTCCTCCTCCTCCTCCTCCTCCTTCATTTTGAGATAGGGTTTCTCTGTGCAGCCCTGGCTGTCCTGGAACTTGACTTGCTCTGCAGACCAGGCTGGCCTCGAACTCAGAGATGTGCCTGCCTCTGCCCCCAAATGCTGGCATGAAAAGCCTGTGCTAGACCCCCAGCTTCCGTGGACTG